GAGGTCCCGAGGACCAATGAGTTTGTTTTGTACATATTATTTAATCCCCCTTATTTCATTCAATAAACGAACTACTACTTCGTGGTCTCTTCTCCGTGTCTCGGTTACGTGGGATATTGCGTGCTAGTGCCAGTGTGGTCCAGTGCTGACGTGACGTCCGNTACTACAACCACTACAAAAACGCATAGCAAATATGACTGCAATAGTATTCAAACTAGCCAGGAAAGCTTGCGGCTTCCTTGGATCTTCATTTACAAGTACAATGTCGCCAGCACAATATAGAGAAAGCAGTTTACACGAGATCAAATTTATAACGAAGTTGAAGTTCAGACTCAGCCTTGGATATCAGTGTGGAAGGAATTGTAATATTGAACACCTTTCAGGGACAGTCAAATTCGACCGAGTCGCAGGCCGCTTTAAGATTGAGGAAAATAGAAATGATGGGTCTACGAAAGGAGTGACCGTGTTATAGAATTGGTCGAAAAGAGAAGATGTGGTCTACACAACCTCGACCAAGTCTAAAACCAACCTGGTTCTCACACGTGCGCCGTTCACATGCGGCAGACAATCGATTGAGTATGATGTCATCAAGCCGCTTAGAGACTATATTAGTTAGACTAATTCCTTTGTGGCTTTCGCAAAAGGATAAGTCACCTTTCCTGTAAATCGGTACGATGACTGATTTTCAACATTCAGTTGGAGTCTCTTCCCTCTGCCACACTAAACCCAGGAGCTTCGTTAACTCCTAAACTAAGGCTGCACCTCCACCGTTAAAAATCGATGGAGATAGCTCGTCCGAACCCAAACCCCTTGCGAGATAATTTACTTCCATTGCAGATGGAGCACTGATATCGACTGGCAGTTTTTACCCATTTAAAGTAGGAATTAGGAAGTCTAGCGTCGATGGGTGCAAGCGAAACGTTGCCACAAAATGTTCCGTCTATCACTCAAGACCGTGTTGCTGAATATAAGTGTACCGTCGAATTCCTTAGTAACCTAACTCACGCTTATTTTCCTTGGGCCTATGTTCCTCATTAGACGGTCAATATTGCAAATGTTAACGATCGACCACAGCCTTTTCTTGCGGTCATTCCTCAGGCTCTTGGTGAGGTTACGAGCAAAACGTCAGATTTTTCCAATCGAATACAAATCAACCAGGTTCCGTGTGAAATTATTTCGTTTTAGTTTTGCTTGTTTTGCTTAAATAAACACAACTATTTCACCTCTTTTCTTTTGCGATAATAAACATCGAAGACCTCGAGCGATTTATCCTCAAAACAAACTGTTATTCCTGGGCCCATGAACCATGGTCGTTCTTTAATCAAAACGCCTAGCGAATTCCACAATATACCTCTCTTCTGACATTTACTTGTTCGGAGTACTTTTATGGAAAATTTGAAATCTCCGTTCTATATTCTGGTATACTCACCTGCGTTTGATCCGGAACAATGTGTAACTGGATGACTTCAAACTCGTACTCACTCTAAGTGTTTAGTTCCCTCCAAAGATGCATTTCCTTTTTTCTCTTCTCATGACCAATTTTAAAAACATGAGTGTTGGAACTGTCGAGTTTTGTGTGACCTATAATTCTATCTAAAAGATATATCCCCGTGAGATGTGATGCTTGAAAGCACATGTCTTGTTCCAAATCGCTATTATGTCCCGGTTAAGAATGCTGATTTCAGCGTCAAAGCTATCACGGGTTCCCAAAACTTAGTTCTTAAATATGTGGCCTTATTGGGGATCACTG